TGGTCAATTTGCATCTTTCTCTTTTATTAGTGTAGATAATTAGGCTCATTTTATCAGTAATGTATGCAGTTTAATAGTATGATGGAGCTTAGAAATCAAATGGTGACACAATTTTATAAATTCTTCTGGAGAAGTACCTGTTTTTAACCTCTTCTTTGCTGAGCACTAGTCCCCAAATCCTAGATTCTTTCCCAGTCCATGTGTGTCTTTCTAAGATTCCATCCTCAGGTTCATCCAATGGTGGAAGATGAAGAGGACATTTGGCTTTCTCAGTTATCCCATAAGTCATGTCTTTCATTTTTTCTAGAGTACCTGGGGAGAGGTGGCTCGGAACAATGTATGGTTAGGAAAGCTGAGAGGGAGAACAAGATGGAGCCTGTAGGAAAAAGAGCAAAAGCTATTTGGTAAGGGCTGATCTCTATGAAACAGGGATAGTATAGTACACTATTCTGTGTGTGTGTGGGGGGGGGGAGGTTGGAGAGAGGGGGGCTATCACACACATTTCCTCATTGAGTTCCACACTTGCATTTCATTTCTTCCGTTAACTTTGGTATCCATTTGTTTGAATTTTTTCTTGTTTCTTGAGGTAGGCCTGTGAAATGCAATAGGTTTTTGTATATAGATCTTGTATCCTGTAGTGTTGTGAAACCAACATGCCAGTTCTAATAGCTTTTCTGAAGACTCCATAGCATTAACCTAAATGATGTGACATTGGTTTAACTGAAAGGCAGCAGACTGCAAGGACACAGATATTAAAGGCTGGGAAGCTGGTGATCCTTTTTATGCCGTCACAAAACATTTGAAAAAACTATCAACTTAATTCCTTGGAAGGCAGAACACATGCTCTTAGAATCTGTACCTATAGGGAAATGACCAGAAAGATGATTGTCGGACCAACGAGAGGGCATTAGCTGTTTCCTGCCTCCTTTAGCAAAGTCCTTTGAGAAAGACAAACTCATGTAAAAGCCATAGCCATTTTGTTAACAGTGATGGAAGAAAATAAAGCTCTGCTAAGACTAAAGTTCTCTGCCTGCAGTCTACAGTACAAATTAACTGAGAGTGGTTATTTAAGGCCTTCTAGTTTTGATAAAGGCAAAAGCTATTATATTTCCAATAGAAGAAGATAAAACTATGACCCAGAGCCCTTCTCAAGGGCTATTAGCAACATGTTGTCTGCCAGATGACATGCAGTGAAGATCATAGTAAGGGGATTGATTTCTCAACCAAACCTGTGTCTTTTTTTTCTGCCTGAAAGGGCACTGCCATTAAATTGGTACAAGATATATGGGACAAACGCAGAGCCTAGTAAATAAAAATGAAGAACAGTGAGACATAAGAAATATCACTAGTTGAGATCTTGAGCTGTGATTACTTGTATAAGAAACTGTAAAAGGAGCAAAAAGACCAGAAATCGATTCAGTATCTTTGAAAATTGCAAAGCAGCTTATCAGCCTTAATTTGCAAATGCCTGTGTCTATTTGATTCTTAAAGTAATCCACAGTCCCTCAAAACTGCACCAGTAAGAAATTGGGCAGAAAAAAGATGTACAGCCTCCCAGGAGGGCATACTGTTCAATATACCCTTATGATGGAATCATAGAGGATCATGGGTAAGAATTCCCAGTGGGTAAAGCCAGCACCTTCAGATGTTCCCAACAAGGGAGTTCCTTCTAGAGAGCAGAACTGGGTCTAAGAATTTACTCCATCACCTGGGCATTCTTTGAAGGTTCCCCTTTGCAACATTTGGTTAGACTGTGGGCCAGTGATACCCCTTTCCTCAACCCTTCTTTTAGTTTTCATCTTCTTACTTCACCACTGTACACCATTGTGGGAAAAGGGCATAGGAGAGGGGAACAGATCCCTCATCTTTTAGTTTATAGGTCACTGAATCATGTGGCGTTTTATCCAGATTTACACAGGACTACACATTATCTTTATTTATTTATTTATTTATTTATTATTATTATTATTATTATTTAAAGATGTTAGGGCTTCTCATTAATACAGAGAGGGAGGGAGATAGATAGAGAGCCAGGAATGTCAATGAGAGAGAAACATCGACCAGCTGCCTCCTGCACACCCCCTACCAAGGATGTGTCCGCAACCAATGTACATGCCCTTGACCGGAATCGAACCCGGGACCCTTCAGTCCGCAGACCGATGCTCTACTACTGAGCCAAACCGGCTTCGGCTACACATTATCTTTAGATCATACACTTTGAACTGCTTAGAACTTTGGCTTTTCTCCCTGTGGAATTGGGTGTGTTCTATAGGCCAAATATCCATAGATAGATAGATAGATAGATAGATAGATAGATAGATAGATAGATAGATTGATTTGGGTTGCCAGAAACTGGACTGTGATAGAGATGCCCACCAAAAGATATTCTCACCTTTTTTCTTTATTACTAGAACTGCCAAGTATCAGCTGGATCATGGTTGCCCAACTAGAGAACTTCATCTCTCACCTTCCCAACAGTTAGATCACATCTGTTTATGAGCATGTCTCTAATCAGATCAATAGAAGGAGTGGAAATGATGTATGTTACCTTTGAGATGCACTCTTAGGAGCACTGAAATGTGCACTCGTTCCTTTCTGCCTTTCTGACTGGGCTAAGATACGGAGGTTCTGGCAGGTTCTGGCATGGAGGTCATGTAAGAGGACAGCAGTGCTGCCCAACCGCTGGACTAGTATGGGAGAGAAACAACAGAACTATCTTGTTTCAGATAGAGTACCTTCGTTAAAACAGCCTCATCTGCACCTCAACTAAAATCTCATCTTTATTTTGGGGTAGAGTATAAAGTACTCTTGTTTCAAACGGGCAAGTAGAGTCTTGAACAAATGGAAAAGAAACTTTTACTAATCAGAGTTAGGGTTTTGGCCCAATTAAACCAATTACAGAGCCACTGAATGTTTATTGTGAGCCAATCCAGTATGAGAGATTATGGAAGAAAAGACATGGTCCAGTTTAGCACTGAACTACCTATTTCTCGATTGTTACATAAGAAATAAACTTCTTTTTTTGTTTAAACTGCTGTATTTTGGGTGTCGCTTATACTGCATCCCAAAGAACATACACTGTTCCAACAAATTTCAAAAGAGAAAAATCAAAGCAGTGTATGCCCAATGGGCACAAAAGAAGGCCCTCTTAGTGTGAAGCTCAGAAGGGATTAGGAGAGTCTGAAGAAAAAGAAGTACTAGTGGTGAAAATGGTATTATTGAAGGCAGAAATATTTAAATCTCCGTCAAGAAACAAGCAAAACTCAATGTAACTTCTTACAACTATTCTGGTAAATGTAAAAACTGTTCTGATTTTTGAAAAAAGCTTTGAAGGTATTCTACTTTAAAAATGTTTATTTTTATAATAAGCAACAGCCATTGGAACACTTGAGAACACTGTAGAACATTTTAAAACAGAGGTTTAAAAAAAATGAAAATCAGTAGAACATTACTTTGAACAACAGCAAAACTGCAAACACCATTTACATTTTTTTCTAGTCTTTCCTCAGTGGGTGTACAAGTGGGGGTGTGTGCATTTTTATATATACTACATCGCACAGATGCACATACTTGAGATCTGTTGTGCTTTTCCACTTAACATTATATAAGTACTTCTTGACATGAAAAATTTTTTAGTTTTTAGCTGCTGAGTGTTTCGAACATGTTTAATTTCATACAACCAACCACTAAATCAGAAAAGGCAAATCAGTATGTATTAAAAGGCAGCAATTTAACCCCATCCCCAGAGTTTTTCCTTTGATAGAGGAATGATCTTATTTTTACAAATGCTTAGCAGTAATCAGGCCTTCACAAGCCTGCAAGGCAGAGGAGTGTTTCTGAGCGTGGCCTGTAGAACCTACTTTGTATAATCTCATAGTGAAAACAAATAAATCAAAAGTAAAAACGGAGGCAAATTGCCCAAAGGGAATTGTAAATTATAAAATAAACACTTTGATCTTAGTTTAATGTTACATGTGTGGCCCATTCTAAAGTAGAGTAGGGCTAATCTAATGTCCACGTTACCTGACAGTCCACACCTACTAAAACAAAGAGATAGATACACCCTTGGGGTGGGTAAGGGAGGTGGGTGGAAACTCCCACATCTCTGTGAGTGACAATCTGACGTTCCTTTCCTCATCTGAGATTATCTGCCCATTTTGGCAGAACATTTGTGTAAAACCCCCAATCTCACACCCATCTGGCTCCACCCATCTTCTGTTTGGGGCTGAAAATATGTCACAGGAACAAATGTTATCTCCCATGATTTGAGAAACAAGAATGACCCAATAGCACCATTGCATCCAGCTAAGCTGCCTTAGTGGTGATATTAGTACCTCGCTCCTCTACTTGCACACCCTCTTCCCCCCCCTCCCATCACCCATAAAATGGGCTTATCAATTATATTTATACATGTGCACGTGTGTGCACACATGTATGACATTATATGGAGTTCTCTCCCCTATTCTGAGCTTTTTCAAACTTGTACTTAGTTTTCATTTTGGATACTCATCTTTTCGGGAATCATAATGGCTGCAATGGAAACAGACATACATTCCACTCGACTGTAAGGTAGGTCGTTTTGTATCTAAGGGCACGCCAAACAACTGCAGAGGAGGTTGTGAAATGGGGACGAACTGAAAAATCCAGGGCTGGGCATATTTTTTTTTTTTATTTTTGGCCCCTGACGCCTCACGTACTTCGTACCGCCATTAATACATTTGTTCCCAGCTTGGACAGGGCACTGTAGCCGAGCCAGGAAAAGCCGCGGGTGTCTCCCGGGACGAGGCACCTTCTCGGGGAGAGAACACACCCTCGGTCACATCCCGTGTGACCTGCGCCTTAGGTAACCCCGGTTCCGGGGCGGCGGCGGCTCGGTACACAGCGGTCCCGCCGGGCGCCCGCTGTCAGTCCTGCGCCCGCCGGCCCGCGGCTGCCACTCGGCTCCCCCGCCCGCAACCCCCGCGCCGTCCGCCCACCGCCCCTGTGCCAGCGGCCCGCCCATGCTCTCGGCCGCCAGGCGGGCTCGCCAACTCTTCCACAGCCTGACTGCCGTCCCGAGAATGGGCGACTCCGCTTCTAAGATGATCAGCCCCCAGGAGGCCTTGCCGGGCCGGAAGGAACCGATCGCCGCGGCGGGTAAGGGCGCGGTGGTCGCGGCTGCGCATGCGTGCGAGTGCCGGGTGGCGGCGCGTCCTCGGACTGGACTCCCTGGGGCTCAGGCTAGGGTCTGCGCAGGCGCGGAGAGGCGCGGGGAAGGGAGGAGGTGGAGGTCGCTTCTGTTTCTTTGTTTAGCCCCTTACTCCCGGAAAACCACACGCACAAGATGCTCGGACAGAGTCTTGATAAACACCTAGAGTGCAAATTCCCAGCGGCTCCCAACGTTGATCCGGTTTCAGCCTTTTCTCTCGGGTGTGCGCGTCTGCAGTCCGGCGTGCTCTGCATCCTTTCCTTTCCCTTCTTAGCACCAGCTCTGGGATGCTGGCTGTTAGTGGTGATGGGGCGGTTCTCTGTTGTCACTAGAAACAATGTAATGATACAGAACGATGGAAACTGCAGTTTTGAAACTGTATTTCAGCACAGAGTCCTGGTTGCAGGCATTATCTTCTGGCTTCCATTATCTTCCAAGACTGCACGATTTACTCCAATTGGTAGGAACGGCCCTGTACTCCCTAGTCTGCACTTGTGTATCAATCCTGCGGAGGTGGGTATTTCAGAGCTGAGTTTCCCAAACTTTAAAATAAGTTTCCAATCTCAGACCAGCGCTTTTGGAAAACACAATAAAAGTAAAATGCCAGAAAAGTGATCACGTGCTTGGCTGCTAAGTAATGTTAAACTATCCCCAAGTTGTAAAAGCTTAATTCTCCATTTCTGTGGTAGACCCCTTGCAGTTTGCAAACAGCACAGGTCCACCAACCCCAGCACCATAATTTAAGTAGGATTACTTTGGCGCAGCGTTTCTCAAAGTGTGGCCCTGTCAACTGGTGTTTTAAGTCCTCCATCTGATTTTAATGCATCCCATGGTTTGTAAATCACTGCCTTAGAGCTATTGGATAGTGATGATTAATATTTTACAAAAGGCTCAATGTCAAGATAGATTTTGCATTTAAAATTTACCTGAAATTCTTTTATTTTCCTTTTCCTTAAAGAATTGGTGAGTATTTATAGGAGGAGGTCATAGTGAGGGTCTGTGTATATAATAATAATATATAATACTCAGCATGAGACTGTAAAAGGTGGAGAGAGGTTTTTGGATTTCAGGCAGTTTGGAAAATGATTGCGTGACCTGTTTTTTATTTACTTACATTAGCAGTTCTATTTCCTGTGCCCACCATCACTTCACCTCCAACTCATCATCAGCCATAAAAGTTTATTTTATTTTTAACTCAGATTCAGAGAATGAGTTTTGGAAGAAAGAAAAAAAAATCCAGATTATTTTTTTAATCTCTAAACTATATTTGACTCAATTATCTGAACTTTGTCTTAAAAATAAATTCTTTGCAAATTTGCAAACCAGCATTCATAAATGGGTATTTACGGTAAAGGCAATTCTTTCTCAAGATTGAACTTCCCTAGCTTATACTGAACTTCCTTTTTACACACTACAGTGTCTTTGATAGCCCTCCAAGACAGACAGACAACCCCAAAACTCTTGATTACATTTCCAAATAGGTTCAAGATCAAGATTGACCAAAATTTAGTTGTTTTTTTCTTGACCAAAGTCTTCCCAATCAATGTCCTGGTATGTAAGTGACACTTTTGGTAAAAGATTGACCAACATGTTAGAAACCACCTAAAGATTTTTTTTCATATCCACATAATAACTCTGCAGAACCTTAGGACCTGGTTCTACTCCAGGCTCTTTTCTCTTTTCTTATTAGCTGTTTGTACATCTGATTTTGATGATGTTGGGCCAAACCTACAATGCATATGTCCTTATTGTTCAGCTGTTCTAACCATGCCTTCTCCCCAATATTTTCATTTTAGACTAGAGGCCTGGTGCATGGAATTTGTGCATGGCTATGGTTTCTAGGCTGGCGATCAGGCTGATCCGTGGGGCAACTGGCGGGGCAATCAGGGGCCCCCACTGGCACCTGCTTTAGCTGGCCTGGCACTGCCTCCTCGCCAGCTCCCCTCTCCCCCTCCCCCCCCCCCCCCCATCCACCACTGCAGCTGGTTTGCCTCCCTCTGTGGGAGGAGACCCACGATGTGATTTGCAGGGTGGTGGTGGGAAGCCCCACTGGCACCTGCCTTGGTTGGTCTGGGAGCAGCTCCTGCATTAAGTGTTTGCCCCCTGGTGGTCAGTGTGCGTCTTAGCAACCTGTCATTCCACCTGATCTTTCCATAGTTGGTTGATTTGCACATTAGGCTTTTATTATATAGGATTGTGGCCCATCCAGTTTCCATTCCTGCCTTGATGGATTGCTGAAACTTTTAATTGGCTCCAGAAATGGGCAGTGTTATCTCTTTGACAGGTTTTGGTGGTTATAAGCTTGAAACTTATGGACTTATTATTGTTTTGAAAGTTAAATTAATCTTAGTTCCAACCTCCGATCTGTTTAACAGCTGTTCACTACTCTATATTACCTCTGTCTATGTCTGTCATTTTCATTCTGATTCTCTGAAAAGTTCTATGACAAAAACATCACCTTTTGATTTTTAGAAGACAAAGCCTGTCTGTTGCATGTCTTTGGCTCAACCTACTATGAGGTGTGCACCATTACCAAACACTTTCGGTGCAAAGGATTATCATCCAAGCTTTAATCCTACCTTTTTTGATATGTTCAATAAAACTTACACCTTTTTATAAACTGTGGGTCGGTAGATTTCTACTTTGCAAGAGGGTAAGATTCAATCTTTTAAGCGTCTTATTTTCTCCAAGGCTATTTAAAATGAACCAAACCATGAATAGGCCTACTTTGGGTTATTAATTTAACCTAAACTTGGACTAGACTGCCTCAATTGAAGCACACTCTGTTCAGGTGAGTGGTGGGTTCTGGACAGCACTGACTGGCTACAGGGCACACATGACTTTGTTTGATCTTATATGTGGAAATGATTTTGCTCTGTTTTAGTGTTTGGCTAATATAGCAATACTGAGAGAACTTTGGGATTGGAGAAAATGGGGGATTCTTGCTTGTTAAGCTAAATTGGTGGGCAATTTATTGCTAGAGATAGGCAAGAAGGAGGTGGAAGTCTTATCATTAAAACCCCAGAGGACCTCTTATGTTATTCAAATGTAGGTTTATTATAGTTAAAACTGACCTTATTTCCAATGAGTTACTTATGGTAAAAGCCCAGATTTTACTTTGTATGGCACTTTTTTTCCTCTCTTCATATTGGGAACATTGCTAATCTGTTTGTTTTTTTTTGACCAGGTATTTGGGATTTGGAGATATTCCAGATAACATTAATAACTCCTATTTAATCTATTTCTTGCCTTTATGTTCTTAGTGTTCACTGCATTTATTGCTGTGATGCCTTTTTGGGGTGAGGAAGAGATTAGCACACCTGCTAAAGGTATATTTGTTTCAGAACTTTAAACATAAATAGAAAAACAGTAGAGCTATATAAGTGATCCAAAAGGTGGCTCTTTGAAAGATAATTAAACTGCAACAATAAAATTTATAAACTATTAGCTAGGCTAATAAAGGAAAAAAGGAAAGAATGTACAAATACATAAGAACTGAGGGGGAATAATGGAAATAGAAAATTTTAAGAATAGTAAGAGACTATTTGCATAAGTCTTTGAAAGTAAGTTTGAAAATTTGGATGGAATAGATAATTTTTTAGGAAAATACAATCGACCCAAAATACCTTCTGATCCCAGAAGGAAGTATAAAATCTAAACAGGTTGATTTTTCTAAAAAAAAAAAAAATTATATATATATATATATATATATATATATATATATATATATATATATAGTCAAGGAGTTGCTTCTCCCTTAAGCATTATGTCCAGACAGTTTTATAGGGGACTTCCACTAAATATTTAAAGAACAGACAATTTCAATATTATTTATGCTGAAAGAATTGTCAAATTGTTTTAAAGTATAACATTGAACCAAAATTGATAAAGATTGCTTCAAAATAAAACTACAGAACAATCGTATGTATGAATATAGATGCAAAATTGTAAAATAACTATGAATACGCAGGCTCCAGTAATGAGATTTAGTCTCAGAACGCAAGGATGGGTCAATATTAGGAAATCAATGAATATAATTTATCATTTAATTGATCAAACAAACAAAAAAAGATTTAACTATCTCCCTGGATGCTGAAAAGTTGTTGGACCAGTTTAACAGCCGGCTTTGATAACACTTAGAGATAGCTACTTCCTTAACATTGATGAGGTGTATCCATTTCAGCCAAAGGCCAACACGATGCTTACTGGAGAAACATTAGAGGTTTCTACTAGAGCAGTGGTTCCCAGCATGGAGCACAGGCCCCTCAGGGGTGCAATTTGATTTCTAAGAGGGACAATTCGAGAATGAGTTATTAACAATGATATTTTTTGCATTTCTTATGGTTCTAGGGGCCACTTAGACAATATATAAATATATATTGTGACATATTTATGCATTTCAGTTCTCCATTATGTGTTTTGAAACTTTATTGGTATTTTTTCATATCATTTCGTATTATTATTTTTTAAAACAATTTCTTAGTAATTTCTTTTTTTAAAAAAAACCAACACTTTATTGATTTTTTTCAGAGAGTGAAATTGGAATAAGTTAATCCAAGTCATACAGGTGGGGGGCATCAGTATTTTAGAGATGCTTAGGTGGAAAATCCCAACCAAAAAAAGGTTGGGAACCAATGTATTAGAAGCTCAACCAAGAAAGAATGTGGAGGTGATCCACTCTGGCTCAACCTTAGTAGCAGGTGTGCACTATTAGTAAATAGTGCACTATTTTGTTGTTAAGGGTTATCATCTAAGCTTTAATCCTTTTTTTTTTTGTGTTCTTAAAATGTCCGTCCTTTTATAAACTATGGTTTGGTATATTTCTAGCTTGCAAGAAGTTAAGATTCAAACCTTCAAACTTTTTAAATGTTCAAGGCTGCCTAAATCATTACCAGGCCTACTTTGGGCAATTGGTTATTATTTAACAGTAGAGGTCTGGTGCATGAAA